TGCGCGGCTGGGTCGAGCTAGTCGACGACGGAGACGGCGAGACCGAGATGTCGCGGGTGCCACTTTCGGGTGCTCCTTCAGCACCCTGCTGGTACACGCTCGGATCAGACGACCGCATAGGGCGACGCCCATTGCTGGACTCCTGGTCAACAATCATGCGGCGGCTATCATTGATGCCGTCGCCTGCCGCCATGCTCAGCAGGGCGGAGCCTGCAATGGCCGAGCTGGTCTCGATGTCACTAGCCTCGCGCTGCGTAAACAGTGGCCCACCAATACCTATGCCTGAAGACATTGGCGGCTGGCACATCTGAGTAAACGGCGGCGATGCCTCGCGCCGTGCGGAGTTCTCGCCGCGGTGCGAGTGCGAGAATGACCGGGGCCGGGTCGACGAGGCGGTTGTCGGCGGACTGCGCATCGGATACGGCTGGCCAGGGCCAACGTTGCACTGGTGCTGGCGGAAATGCCGCTTCAATGTGCCGGTAGAGGACCCCTTCGAGTATTCCTTCTTGCAGATGCGACACCGCGACATACCAGAGTCCAGCCGCTCAAAGCCAGTTGGTCCCCACACCACAGAGCTTAGCCGCCGTGTGGACTCGCGCGCCGGCGACTGCGATGTGTTCGCCGGGTTGAGCCGTCCTGGCGACGCCTGCAAAGGCTGCACTCGCGGCTGCTGCGGCGGCGGCTGCTGCGACAGCTGCTGCGGGTTGGGCGATGGAATCCGCGGGAACGGCAGCGGCGAGCGCTGCTGAGCATTTGGGTCAAAGCGGCCCGGTGGCATATGCCCCCTGGGCGGCGGTGGCGACAGGGACCGCTGCGAGGGCATGCGTGGGCCGACATGGCTGAAGCTAGCTCGGGACTGGAAATGTGGCGGCGGCGGACCGTATCCTGGGTGCTGCGGCGGCCCAAGCTGCTGCGGCGGGCCGCGCGGACCGTAGGCTGAGTTCGGTGCGAAATACGGCGCCTGTGGCGAGGCCTGCGCAGATCCAAAATGCATTCCCGCATGTGACGTCGACCTGCTGAACGACGTCTCATACTGGTCGCGCGGCTGGTCATGTGGGCCGCCCGGATACGCCAACGAAAGCTGCCGTGGCCGGTGCTGCTGATAGGGCCTAGTCTCCTGTTGGCCAGGCGGCTGCTGCTCGAAGCGCGGAAACTGCTGATGTTGCGGTGGCGGCTGCTGGAGATTGCGCGCCTGCTGAGCTGTGGTCCGCATCACCACGCCCTGCGGTGGCATCGGCTCACTGATTGTTGCAGCATGCTGGCGCTGTCGCCGAAAATGCGTCTGCTGTGGTGGAAACTGGCCATTGAATGTGCGCTGCGGGCCATTTTCTGCGTGTCCGTCAAACACCTGGCGGGCTGCAAACGGCGACGACGGCACCGACGGCTGCTGCGACCCGGGCTGGCTCTGGCCGTTCGTCGCTGCAAAGCCGGTGGCCAGCGGCGACGGCTTCTGCGCATGATCGACATTGTGCGAGCTGCCTGCGGTGGCGCTCGGAGATGCCGTGGATTGCTGCTGTGGGTGATCGCCGGCATTGTTGGCCGACGACACGGCGAATGAGCGCTGGCCGACAAGAAGATTCTCCACCTTGGTTGCACGGCCTGTCTCGTCTTCGTGTGGTGGTCTGCGATTCATATCAGCCGGCTGTGATCCCGCTGGTGGCACATGATGCAGCCGCGTGTGCGGAGGCGTTGATGGTCGCCGTGGGCCCGCGGGAGCGCCTGCTACCTGGCTATTGCTCGGCGCCTTTTCGCTCATGCTGGACATGGTGTGTGTATGTACGTATGTGTCTGCGGGCGTGTGTCTGTGGGCGTGCGTGAAGTCAAGGAGAAAGGTGGCCTTAGGTGTGTAGAGAGGTATCCACGCAACGGCGCATGCAGGATTTTGTTGTTCGGAGTAGAAACGCTGGAGAGGAGAAAAGCAAAAGCGACGAAGACGGCAAAAAGAATAAGGCTTTGAAAAATAAAGAAAAGAAAAGAGAGAAGAGAGGGGGAATGGGAGAGGACAGTCCAAGCACAGGCGTTTGTGGCTACTGCCAAAATAGTGGTGGTTCTGCGCGCTGTGGATATTCAAAATGCAGGTTCGAAAAATTAAATATAGCGAGACTGGGGAGTGTGCGTGGGCGGGCTTGGCCTTACGGTTTATACAGGACGGAGACGAAAATTTTTCTTCTCAGACCAGGTCGCTGAGCAGAGCCTATTTTTGTTTTACCCAAGGTATGCAGCCGACAAAATATACAGTCCTGCAATGTTCTATCTACAGCCAGGACGGATGTGGGTGTCGGTGTCGGTGTGTGCCGGTCCGTGGGTTCGCTGAGCACGAAATAGTGCTGGAAAAATAAAAGGGGAAAAGAGAAAACAGGGACGGCGCTATAGAGTGCGATAGAGCGACAGAGGGGGTGAGCAAACAGGGGAGGGGACGGCCTTGTTCGGCGCGTGATGTGAAGTTTAATAGCGTCAAAAAGGAAAGGCGTTGGCCAGGAAAATAGAGACGCCTGGTAGGAGAAGCGTGAAAAGGGCTATCCTTGTCTGCTCCCTGTCGGGCAGTGTTTATCTGGGTGAGAGGAAGGGGAGGTTGGGAGGTCCCGAATTGGTCCAAGAGAGAAAAAAAGGGCTGGGTGTGGTCCGAATGTGACGTGTACAGCTGAAACAGAATAAAGAAAAGAGTGAGAAAAAGAGGGTTTTGGAGAAAGAGAACAAGGGGGAGGGAGAAACGTGTCGATGGAAATATGTCGTGGCCCAGACTGCTTGGAAGAAAAAGAGTGCGAAAAGGTTGAATTCGAAAAAGGAAGCAAAGTGAAGCGGCAGCGCTCCAGAAAAAATGGTCCTGCGTTTAAAAGCCCGGCCAATTACCACTCTCTTTTCGTTGCGGCACCCCCAGGGCATTCTTGCGAGCCATGGCGCCAGCCCTGGCCAGCGGAGCCTGCCGGGCTCGCATGCCAGCCAATATATGCTTGTCAGTCCACCGGCCAGTGACACGGGTGCTAGGCCCCGTCGTCCCCGCATTGATGCAGGCTCCTCTGCAAGTGGGCCGTGGTCCAGGCTGCGAGGTGTGGCCGGTGGAGCGAGGGCCCGCTCGATCTACAGGCTAATTAGTCTGCAGTCTCCCCCAGTCCGGGTCGCACTCACAAGGTACCTGGAGGGTGATGCATGTGTTCTCTTTGAGAGTGAACAATCGCCAGGCGCCGCAAATCTCCACCCAAAGGCTGCCCGTCCGCTGCGCAGCGCCAGCGGACCAGATCTGATCTTGCGCAAAATCTACAGCCGTCGTCATCGCCTCTGCCGAAAATTAACCGCTGTCTCTGTGCCTTTCTTCCCTCCCCAGTCAATTCCACACGCCTTTTTGCAATTCACCTCGGCTCATTTGGTTGGTACAAAAATGTCTACCCTGACAATTATCTACGGCCCCGGCCGCACAGTGGCGGTCAAGGCTACGCCCACAATGACGCTACAGGCAGTGCTCACGGACGCCTGCGCAAAAGTCCCCGGCTCCCCCACGCCTGCCTCGCACACCCTGACGTACAACGACAAGGCACTGGACCTCTCGCTGCCGCTCCGCTTCGCCAATCTGCCGCAGGGGGTCAAGCTTACTCTGAAGCGAACAGCCAGCAAGCCGTCAGCTGCCGCCCCGCCAGTCAAGGTTGCGCTGCAGGTCAGCGACAGTGGCCGCGTTATCGTCGATGTGCCGGCGGCAACGACGCTCTGGGAAATTGTGACACTCGTAGAGCAGCGGTCGAATGGCACCCTGAATCTGACAAGCCGGTTTAGAGTGCAGGAGCAGAAGGCTGGGTTGTTAAAGACCGTGTTTGGTGGTAGTCCCAAGGCTGCGCAGCAGGAGGGACTGAAGGTGTACCAGCAGCCGGTGCTGCTCATTCTCAACAAGGAGATCAGCGATATCCCAGAGATGAAGACCACGTCGTTGCAGGCGCTTGGGTTCGCTAAAGGCAGCGTTATGATCCGCTTGTCATTCAAGGACGCCGATGTGTCGCTGGCGCCACCTGTCGCAAGCGTGCCGGTGCGTGCGCAGAGTGCTGGGACTGAGGAGTGCAGCCCGATGAATGGGTCGCCTGCGCCGAGGCTTCCGCCACGCACTGCCACCGAGCCCCCGAGAAGCACGCAGCCTGAAAGCCCACCTGCAGCCAGGGAGGGTAAGCAGCCCGAACTGCCGCCCCGACAGCCACCCGCCCAGCAGCCCAACATTGCCCCAGCTGCTGCGGATACCCCTAGAACGCACTCTGAGTATTCCAGCGATGTCATTACCAATCGTCAGGTGCAGGTTTTTGCATCCCCCACACAGACCTCTGCACCGCTTGCTGCACGCTTCGTAATGCCTGATTCTTTCTATGAGCTCAAGGGCGCTGAGCTGCAGGGGCTTGTGTCTGCCCAGCGTAAGCGGCAGATGGAAACCGAGGCTGGCTTCAAGCTGCGCTCGGTCGAAGAAGAGAAGGCACGCAGGCGGATAGAAGAATTCAAGCTCAAGCACCCAAAGACAATGATCCGGTTCCGCTTCCCTGATCTGGTGCAGGTTCAGGCCATATTCCTGACCCTGGGTAAGGTTCAGGAGCTGTACGACTTCTTGGACGAGATTCTCGAGCAGCCTAGTGCTGTGCAGGCGCTTGTGCTGCAGCCGCCTGTGCAGGACCTCAGGCCGAGCCAGAACAAGACCCTCTATGATGCCAAACTGACGCCTGCTGCGGTCGTCCATGTCCGCCTCGTCAACAGCAAGGCACCGACAATGCCGTTGCTCAAGCCCCACATTGCCAGCCTCGCAGCCACCCTGGATGTGCCCACCGAAGTTGAAGGTGCTGCGCTGTTGCCCACTGAATCGCCGTCACCAACCATGGCTGGCGAGGCATCACGGGCTTCATCGGTAGAGGCAGCGACCAAGCAGAGCACCAAGAAGGTGCCGAAGTGGTTCATGGCTGGCAAAAAGTAGCAGCGTCTGCGTCCCATGTGCGCAGCTTTGATATCCCAGACGGAGCCTTGGCCCTTTGGCTCCCAGAAGCCAGCACTTTGCTTGCCTGGTCTTCTAACAACGCTGTGTTTTAATAGTGTAGAGCTCTGACTTTCTAGATGGGCAATCGTAGTGGCATGTGCTCTGTCATATTCGTGCTTGGTCGGTTTGAGGACCACACGTTGAATCTGCGTCCAAATCGAATCTGCCAAATGCCAGCTACCCTGTGGCCTACCCCTCCCCATGTGCCACACATCATACGCAAGCGAGCATCTGTCCACTCACTTGGGGGCTCCTCCTTTCTTTCTTCAGCCGGTAGTTTTGTGATATCTGTTATTTCTGGTCGACTGTTATTACAGCCAATGTCCTCGCAAGCGGCATCGCACAATCCTGGCATCGTGGGCAATGCCACTGATACCAACGTGCCTTCTATCGAACAGGAGACCCCCATGTCCTAGCAAGCGATGGCAACAGTCATGGCTGTTCGCCTGGCCGAGCCCATCAACTACTTGCTGATTATTCCGTTTGTCTATCAGGCATGTTCCAGCAGCCTCAGCATGTCCAGCACAATCGCGTATGTGCGCATTCACCAAATACACATATTAATTGCGCCTTGCTCTAGATGGTCGAGGATTTCGGAGTTGCAAAGAGCCCTAAGGACCTCGCCATGTACACCAGAATTCTCAGCTCCTCCTACTCGGTTTGCCAAGGCAGCACTGTGATGTTCTAGAGCCAGCTCTCCGATCGCATTGGTCGCTGCCCTGTGCTTTTGATGGGGCTCATTGACAACGTCATCACATTTCTGATGTTCGACTTCGCCCACAACTACACCTGGGCACTGGCTGCACCCTGGCTCAACGGCCTCGGGTTTAATTCGCAGCGCATCCGCATCTTGCTGGCACACTCGGGTGCTGTCATGGTCTACCTCCAGCTAGTGACATATCCTAGATTCGAGCGCAAGCATGGCAACCTGTATTGCTACCAGCTAGGTCAAAACGTTCTAGTTCCGATGTGTTTCTCCTTGCTATTCCTATCGCTGTTGGCTGCTCGATCTGACGAGATTGCAAGCCACACAGTTGGCGCTGAGCAGCCAAAAGCATTCACACTAGCATACATCCTACTCTGGGTGCTCTTTTTGGCAAACCAGTTTATGCGCACCATCGACAATGTGGTCGTGTACACCGGTGCCAATCTCTTGTCGGCAAACCTGGCCCCAACAGCTGCCAATCTGAGTCTAATGAACGGCACGCAGCAGCCGGCAATGTTTATTACATGTGTCATCAGTCCAACCTTTGCCGAGCTTGTCTGGAGCTGGTCGACCAAGCACGATTTGCCATACCCGCTCAACGCACATCTGGTTTGGGCTATTTGCAGTCTGTTGCCAGTAACATCGCTGCACTTGTCATTCAGCATTCCAGAGTCTGTCAACAAGTGTGCAGCCATCGAAGTTGACGAGTACAGCCGCCCGCTGGGTGAGCAAGAACATATTGGGTAGCTACGTTTCTCACTTGTACCAATTGGGAAATATCTACGCACAGCCAGAAACCGACGATTCAGAACCGTGTGGTATAGTGAAGTGGATCTGAGTGCGGTGTCCCTCGAAATGTTCCGCACCAGACACCCGATTCGGAACTGCACTCCCTCGGCTGTAGCCGTAGTTCTCACCAAGCCATTGCTGCAGCACTCCTCCAGGGTCGTCTGCGTTCATCGCAAGAGCGCCGATCGTGGATTGAAGCAGTGCCAAATGCTGGGGAAGAGTAGCCCAAGGTGGATCGCTGCTGCGCGCGAGCAATAAAGCCGAGGGCGGCTCCATGCAGTGCACCGAATGAAACCAGCGATTCCCATGAGCCAATCTTTCTCTCGGCTTTCCCCAAAATGAGACCTGATGACTATACCGGATTGCCACTTGCGGGAAAATTAATTCCCGCTCAGACTGTAGGTGCTGCACTTTCTACGCCCTCGCGAGCCGTGAATAAAAGGGGCAAGGGCGCGGTCGTGCTTAGCTTAATTTTCATCCCTTGACACTCATCCTTTTATTGCATTTTACACTTTTGTGCAACTCTCAATAGTATTGTATATTTGTCAGCAATGTCCTCGTCGCAAGTGACATTGAGCGATCCCACCGTCGCCAGCGATGCGTGCGAGATCGAAGAATCCCCCATTGAGCAGGAGCAGGAGCAGGAGCAGGAGACGCCTATGCCCTGGGACAAGCTACTGACAATCATGGCCGTTCGTCTGGCTGAGCCCATAAACTATTCGCTCATTCTGCCGTTTGTTTACAAGGTAAATAGTGACTAATGCTCGAAAGTATTGCAAACGCGCAGCAAAAGGGGTGCATCATGTGAGCGGAGCCTTCATGACATGCATAGATTAAATGAGCTCCATCGTAGATGGTCGAAGATTTCGGCGTTGCAAAGAGCCCGAAAGACATCGCATTTTACGCTGGCATCCTGAGCTCGTCGTTCTCCATCTGCCAGACCACGACTGTAATGTTCTGGGGCCAGCTGTCTGACCGCATTGGCCGCCGCCCAGTGCTTCTAATAGGGCTGGTTGGCAACTTCGTCACGTTTCTGATGTTTGGGTTCGCCCGCAGCTATACCTGGGCGCTCATTGCGCGGTCGCTCAACGGCTTGCTCAGCGGGAATGTCGCCGTGTCGAAATCCGTGGTGGCTGAAATCTCTGACAACACCAACCGTAGTCGGTGCATGGCTATTTTGCCGCTGCTGTGGAATGTCGGGTGTGTCGGTGGTGCTGCCATCGGCGGGCTGCTGGCAGATCCTGTGAACCAGTACCCGAATCTGTTTGGCAGCATCCGCATTTTCCATGAGCTGCCATTCTTGCTGCCGTGCTTGGTCGGCTCTATGGTCACGTTATTTGGGATTGTTTATGGCTTCGTCATGCTGGAGGAGACGCTTGCCACCAAGAAAGCACGGAAGTATACTCATGGCGACCTGCGACCACCAGTGAAGGCTGGATTGGTGGACGAGACCACGCCGCTTGTCAGTTCTGAAACCGCCCAGGCTGCTGATGAGCCGGCAGCTGTCTACAAGCGCCGCTCACTGCGCGACTTGCTGACGCCGACTGTTGTTACGGTCATGGTTACCAACATGCTGATGTGTCTGGGCATTGCCTGCTGCGACCAAATCTACCCGATCTTTGCAGCCACCAAGACATCGGATGGCGGCCTGGGATTCGACTCTCGCAACATTGGCATCTCGCTAGCCATCTCGGGTGTCGTTGTCTTGTACCTGCAGCTGATCATGTATCCGCGCCTTGAGCGCAAGTTTGGTGCTCTGTACTGTTACCAGCAGGGCCAAAAGGTCATGATCCCAATGTACCTTGCTATGCCATGCCTGTCGTGGATGGCTGCGCGGTCTGGACAAGCTGTCGAGCATGCAATTGGCACCGACCAGCCAGTAATATTCACTCCGGCATATGCCATGCTCTGGATACTCTTGTTGGCAAACTTGTTCTTGCGTGTCATCGGCAACGTCCTGTTCTTCACCAGCGTCAATCTTTTGTCGGCCAACCTGGCTCCGACCACCGCCGATCTGGGGCTGATGAACGGTGCTCAGCAGCTGGCTATGTCAGTCACTCGAGTTATTGGTCCTGTCATGGCTGGGTATATCTGGAGCTGGTCGATCAAGCACGATTTGCCATATCCGTTCAACGCGCATTTGGTCTGGGTTATCTGTGCTCTGCTGACGGCTGTTTCGCTGTACATGACATATGACATTCCCGAATCGGTCAACAAGTTTGCTGCAATCGAAGTCGACGAGTATGGCCGCCCGCTGAGCGAGCAGGATCGTACAGAGTAGCCGTTTTATAGCATCAATGCAAGAAGATTGCAAAAAACAAACCAATGTACAGCTATGCCTGCCATTCGCACTCCACATCCACTGATACATGTGAAAAAGAATCTGCTAAACAACCGCCCGCAACACCGCACCATCACCAATACTGTAGAATCCTAGGCTCCTTGTATCGTTGTCAAGCTCAATCCACGGCCCCTGCTCCTCTTCGCGCAAATACACACAAAACTTGCGGTTCTTTGCCAAGCGTATCAGCAGCGGCTTCAGCTGGCGCACCTGCATTGTCGGCAGCAGTGACTTTTCCTGCTCGCTCGTCGGCTCCGACTCAAGGTCACTGGCCACCTGCAGTGTAAACTTGACCAGCCGCGACCTTAGCGTGGCTGGTTTTGGTTTGCCGACAGTAGCTGGCAGCCCGTGCTTGTGGACCAGCGCGGCAATATTCGGATACTTCATGGCCATTGCCGCCGCCAGATCATCACCAGGCTCCTCGATCGATCTGGCACAGTGCGCAAGGTAATAGCGCTCCATCTCAGTGCGCTCCTCTCGCGTAATCACTGTGCCATCTAGTTTTTCCAACCGTAGAAGCCGACCAATTGCCTGTGCCCGTGCCAGGTTGTAATCGCCGCTGACGACTGGAGTCTTGGTCAAGTGTAGGGTGGTCAGGCTAGGAAGGCCAGCGAGGTTGTCCACGTCTGCCCACGATGCGACCTGCGTGCTGGTCAGGTTCAGTGTATGCAGGCTTGGGAACATACCGCTCTTGAACATTGGGATCGTTTTCAGGTTCTTGTTGCCACTCAAGTTCAGTGTCCTGAGATTCGGTAGACACATGCCCAGAGTGGCAAAATCTGACAGTTGATTGCACTCCAAATGGAGCTCCTCGACGAAGGCCAGCTCAATCGGCGCAATTTCTGTCAACCCGCTCCATCCAAATGACAGCGACCTGACCGCCAGGTTATTAGCGGCATTAGCGGCATCCAGCCACGAAAGCCCTGGCGAAGAGTCAATTCGCAACGTCTCCACATGATGCTGCTCTGTCGACGTGCAAATTTTATCAAAGTGGTTCGCGCTCAGATCCAGGGTATGGATGTTCGGCAATGTATGCAAGATGTCCTCAACCTGTGACCAGTGAGTCAGGAAGTCTCTAGCCAGGACCAGCGTATGAACTGTTGCCAGTGCCCCCTTGGTCTCCTCACGGTCAGCGTCTGAAATACCAAACACACGCCTGCCATCAAGCCACAGCACATCTAGCGACGTTAGCTGCCCCTGCTCGCGAGCAATCTTATCGAACCCGACAACCTCGATCTTACCGCGCCTCCCGTCGATATTCCTGGGCACATTCGTAAGCTCTTCTGCGTCTGCAATGTACCTCGCTTTGGCTGCACTCAGAACAGACTGACCAAAGTCGATGCGGGCAATGTGGCGGATAAAGGAGCCGCGGCCAGGGACGCTGCAGACAAAGTACTCTTTGCCATTGTGTGTGCCTGAGTGCTTACCGCGTTCGGGAGATTTCCACTCGACGCCGAGCCAGGTTCCCTTGGTGCCATCAACCGGCCCAGAGTATCGTACAACCCCTTCTTCCCCATCGATGCAGAACCAGCGACCAACTAAACCATCACTCATTCTATGTATATTCAAAGTGTGACGGGTATATAAAAGCGATGTAGTAATCAGAAGCGAGTTACCAAGAAAAAGTAGAAGCTGCTATTCAAGCCGGCACCTTCATTCGTAGAGTATGGTTTCGTGCGTAGTGTGTACGTTATGGTTAAGTATGTGCAGACAAGATCTTCAGCGACGCAATCG